GTATATTCTTGTTTTCATTCGCTGTTGTTTCTCGAAATAAATTCGAAATTGCACTTAAATCAATGAAAGAACGCACAGTCATATATCGTATTGTTGATTATTTTTTCAGTAAACTGGTATCATTTGAATTACAAATAAATAATAAAAATATTTACAAATTGGTATGTATGTTTTGTCTATGCTAGTTGAGTTGTCAGTGTGGTTAAATCAACAGGTGGTTCCTATCGCACGTATACTCATCGTATATATACTAACTTCTGTTTGTTAATAGATTTTAAATAAGTTTAAACTGAAACGGGTTGAAAATATTTCTTCTTTGAATGCCATATTTTTTATCACATTTCTGTGTCGCAGTACTATATGTACGATGTTTTGTCGCGTATTATGTTCGAATCTATTATTCAATAATTTTGGGATACTCATTCTGTCGTTTGTCGTACTGTGGGTCATTGTCAGTCGTAAGTTATTTTAAAGTTGTTTGTTATCACGAGATTGCTACTCAAGTACATGCACGTTGCATTATGGGAACCAAGTTTCGATGCCCCCCATGTTTAAATATCCAAGTATGTTTAGTGGGCCTAGCCTTAGAGAGTATAAGTTGTAATTGCTCTCACTTTTACGATTCATTGTACCCTTTTACGTTACTGTTTTATCACCTGAGTATCCAGCTTTTTTTGTATAATGAACCCCGAAACTCAAAGTCGTAAACTGAGATCAAAGAAGCCACTATAAATGTCCAGTCTCGAGACCCATGACTTTTTTGGGGGTGATCAACGGTGCGGTAAGTTCAAACGCTTTGCCCTGCAGCTATATGCGTGGTGTGTTTCTCGAGACGACCGGCGTGTCGCATACCACACCATGTAGAAATGGAAGAGAAAGTAGCTATGATAATTTCCAATTATTTCTTCAACCCAAGAACAAACTATTTCATTGCATTTGTTCAGCTATAAAAAAAAACTTATTTATCAGTCAGTATGCCATAAAGATTACAGTGATAAAAACCGTGACGTCATCAGACTCCGATTCATATTTCCATACTAGTACGTAACCATATATAGTCATGATTTATTAATTGCTGTAAGCTAAATTTAGACTAGTATGCAGTATCATGTTATTAACCAGAAATGAACACTGACAATCAAAGATACCAATGATAGTTCCAACTTCAATCATGATGGTCAACAAAATAAAGTGAAAAAAAAACATCGTCCAGGTGTTCCAATAAAAACAAATGTTTGATTTGCGAGATAACTACACGCTCCCAAAAAGACAATAAATTGTCTAAAATGCGCCAAAAGACCGAAAAACTGGATTTACGAGAGGGTAGGAGTACATTTCCGTTACCGAGCGACGAAGTAAGAAACGGGAATTCTGGCTTTTTAACTTGGCGTCTTGGTCGGTGTACACAGGTCCCTCGGGAGCCATATCGACAGCACGCTTGGCTTCTTGGCATAGCTGGTTTATTGGGCGAGGAAAACTTAAGTTAATGTCTTTACTAACTAGCGTTTTAATTCATTTGATCGTTTTTCACTTGGGGCAAAAAGTAATGAAAGTTGTACAGAAAAGTTTCGACACATGAGTGAAAGTTGGCAGACTGTAGTTTAGTCGCCGTTTTGCGGTTAATTGCGAACTTGAACGGGTCGGATATGATGCGAGGCACAGCTGGCTGATCAGCGCAGTTCCGCTCATTTTTACACAGTATTTGTTAGAAAAACTACGAATAGAAATGAGACTTTTGATTTTTACGTAAATGAGCTGATTGGCGTATGCATGGACGTCAAACAAATGCGTATTGTGCAAATTACATGTGATTGTCAGAGTTAACCATGAACCACGCGGGTGTCGAGGTAACTCATAAATCGTCCCTTCCCAATAACCAATATATGTTTTCGACCTAAACTGTTTGTTCTAGAAATGTAAAATATTATCCGCCAGTGTGGACGTATTTGGTATTATGGATGCGACACGCAGTCGTACCCCTCGACGAAACAGATTGTCCGCGACGCTCTGGGCAATCGCGAGAGACGGTTACCCATCATGCTACTTATGGAGTGTTTGGCCACGTGACGTAATCTGTTGACATAAACTAAAGTGAGCTAACAGTACGGTGTCGAGAAATAAAGTTCACACCTTGAAGACGGTCAATTAGATTATAAGCTGTGTGTGATAAAAGCGCTCGAATTCGCCTCAAATTACGTATTATCAACGCTTTAACAAGTAAAAAAATATAATAATTCTTATTAAAACATGAAAACGTAAGCATGTACTCCATGGAATTATCTCAAACTATGAATTCCTTGTGTTAATAAAGTACTGTGACACACTGCAGAATTGTGTATTTGTTGGTTTCTCCAAACGTCGCGTCAGCATCGCAACGTCATCTGAACGATATAAAACGTACATATACATGTCTATTTGGCAGTTGAAGTTGGGAATACACTGTTTTACTTGTTCATGGTCACCAGGTGTCGATCTGTAGCGGCGAGGTGTGAATACCGTCCTAGGTGAATATGTATACGATATTCAAAAACATTGCAATCGGTTTAAATCTATCTCTGATTTTATGGATGCGCTTCTCATGGAATAGCAGCGCATGAGGTGTTAAGAGTGTCAATTAACGAAGGCAATTAGGGCGAACGTATTGTGTGCTCCCTAATGAACGCCGTAACACTACGTAATTGATTGGGGATCTGCACAGTCCGTTGTACGGTGTCGCTTGAATTACTTGCCTGATTGTTATGTCAACTATGTAAGAATGGTACAAAGTCATAAACTCCGTTCGTATAGACATTGGATTGGCGATTCTACTAGAATCTCTATTCTCATAAACTGCATCGATGTTCTCTCTTCGTACCACAATTGCCCATAAAAGGCCACACGTATTGTCTAGCTGTTCCCCATTCGTACATGTTCAACGGGACGAGAATTAATTGACCATGATTGTTGTTTTTAAACTTTTTTCGACATCCACAATCACTTTTTTGACACTTTTTTTAAATTCTGGAAAAATTCTTGGAGCAAATACGTAATGGGTAAACGTCGCGATGAGATTCACTTTTTCAAAGTTCTAGAGATGTGTGTATAGTTTGTATTTTTTTCTAAATATAAGTTGAATATCATCATCTACATCACATGTGATACAAGTTATTTTGTATTTCAACCAATTTTCCGCGAATTTTCATGAATAGTTTTTCGTTTTGTGACGGATAACCGCGTCGATGTATGAGGCTATTACCACAAACAGTAAAGTGCTGGTTTGCGGAAAGTTTCAAATACCCGAGAAAAAGTGTGTGTAATACAGATTTGTGTCAGTCGGCACTCTCAAACACCTCGGTCCCAGCCTATTAAGCAGTTATACTAGTACTTGACCGTTTCATAGACGTCAATAAACTCAGAATAAAAGACACAATAAGCTAGCATAGCTCGACGTGGTTAATAACCGCCATGTGTGACGCTGACAACGATGGGCGGTAGAATTTATAGACTCCACCGAGCGATAATTGAAGACGAAAACCCACTTGCATTCTTCTGTATAATTTGACACCTATACGTGGAAGTGTGCTTTGCACTGAAAGTTTACATACAGTTTTCATTAGCGTGGCAAGTGAGTATTCTACATGTAGCTCAGGTATCCTTGTAGGTGCTTGTTCCTATGCTATTTGATAGCCTGTGAACGTTCTGTTTATCATATGGCACCTGCCCATTGCCACGAGGTTGGTACCCGGATCACACCTGGTGTATTGGTGCAAAGAGCTTAATCTGCCACTAAGGTTTAAATCGCGAAATACAAACACGATATTTACTGAATCATTTAGTACGTTACCATATGACACCATATAAAATGTTGTATAAACTTACAGTTTTTACTTACTTTTATGTCATTTTATGTCGAAATTGTGTTCGAGTTTATATTAAGGTATAATTTATGCCTGTAATTTATTAATCCATATTTTCAAAACATCATCTAATAATTATCTTGCTTCCAACTTTTGTTTCGTTTTGTAAACACCAGAAGATATTTGGATAATAAGAACTTGCATTTACGACATGGCGAACAACTGTGCTACTTGTATCTTGCGTTGTTACTATTTGTATGGATCATATCTGTATTGTCCCAACCCCCTAGAAACAACTTTGAATTCACCACTTCGCGGTGGGTTCCATGGTCACGTGATATTATGTCCGACTAAGTCATCACTTTGCCATATTGTACAAACCTAGTTCGCAATATAGTCACTAAAAAGTCTTTCAAATACTAGCGTCTACCCCGAAATCCTAAAACATTAGTAGTCACAGAGTGCAAATTTTGGTATGCGGGGTCAGCTTCGAACGAGAATACTAGTTAAATGACGTCACGAAATAGAATATATCACATGCACCAGAAACCGACAAATAACCTACTACGTGTCGGGTGTCATGTTCAATTGGATAGTAATACAAATACACATCCGGGAAAGTTCGTTTTTTTCAATATATGTCACGTGGAAGTTATCACTGAAATACTGTATAAGGTCGAGCAGAGCTATATCATCATGACGTCATTGGGCGTATCTTGATTAATTTAATCATCAGAATGGCAATTTTCTGGGTCATTTGTCAGTCGTGACTGTGAAAATATGCAGAATCGAAACTATTAGATCTTTTGTTATGGTAAACACGACTCAATAGTCGGATATTTTCGATTGTTATACGATTTGTGTTTTGCCTGGCCTCTTGTATTAAACGTCCGTACATGAACATGCAAACAAAAATAGCAGAGGTTTAGTTTCACGCGAATGAAGATGAATATATCATGTATGCTCAGTTATCATACGGCAAATAGTGGAACGTTTTTATTTGCCCTTAGAAGGAGTACTAGTACTCCGCGGCGTGAATCTACGTCAGTTATGTAACAGAGCAAATATAATTCATTACCTCATCATTGCGGCCATTGGTTAATACAGTCAAAAAACTTGAAGATGAGATTAGGAGCGATTAAAACACAGACAGAGTAAAAGGTGTCATGTAGAAAAAATTCTATTTAATTCTTTCAGAAAAAATACGGCAGATAAACATTTACAATATATAAATATGAAGGAATATTTGGCAAGGTTATTATTTGAAACAAAAAAACGTAAACATTAAGGAACTGAGGAGACATCAACTCTGAAACCTGCATTTTATGAAATCGAATTCCGTTGAAATTAAAATCACTGTGTTGGAGTTGACCTTCTACATACCAAATGTAGCTGCGTAATTACATTATTTGAAATAAATCAAGAAAACTGAATTTGAATTAAAATAATAAAACAAAACAAATAAAAATTGCACTTACGTTCTGTGTGAAATACGAAAACAAACTATTCTTTAAATATCCCGAAAAAATGGATAGAAACTTTTAATAGAAGGTTTTAAGTACAAGAGAAAATGACTCAATTTTACCCTGAAACTTGTTACCGATTGTCGGTGCGATTGAAGAGGTAGGTATGGTCTTAGTCGTGGATGTCAATTTCGGACTTGAATGATTTGCCATCCATCCACATGAGGCGGTCACGGTCAACGTCATATAAAAAATAAACATTTTTGTTCAAAAAACTTATCAAAACTTTAAGAAATTGTCTTTTCAGTGCAAATAAGTCTTATACCAGAGGTGGCGTGAGGGGGTTCCATCCCTGTTTAGGCGCCGACAAAGTTTGGTGGGTTGTGTACGTGTCCGGAACGTCGGTGTGCGACGACTCGTAGATAGGCGAATGACCGGAATGTAAGCTGTTCGTTCCACTCATGGTGGCGGGGATCGAGCCGTATGGCGATCGAATAATTCCCGTTGGTATGGCTGTGTTAGCACTAGTCACCGGTGTTCCCATCTGCCACATTGATGGATATTGGCTGCTGGGGTGCGATGTGTGCGACGAGACGGGTAGAGCCGGCCAGTTTTCATGAGCTGACAGCATTGACTCGGCTGCGTAACTATTGGCTATAGAAACAATAAAATAAAACATGATTAGTTAACATGGCGGAAAAATGTACAAATGTAAGTAAAAATCATTAAAATTAATCCAAAAAGTTCAACATATTGACGGAGTTTTGGAAGTTTCTTGTAGTCACATTGTCATTGTCAATTCTAAATATTAATGACCACGGTTGCTGGAACGACCGGGTTAGATGTCATAAAAGTCGGACACCGTGAAGAACCACCTTGGTTCTTGGCGCCTATCAATGTTACCACCTTTTATTCGATTGCCAAATTACAGGTTTGAACACCGCGTTTAGTTGATTAGCGATAAGGGGGTTCTAATAAAACGAAATGACGGAAAATGAGAGTGAACTTGAACAAAAAGTAGACATACATGACTGGGCAAAAAAAAGAACTTAAAAAAAAATACAAGTTGGTAAAAGTTTGTCAAAATTTCGAACGGTTGGTTCAAATATGCGGCAATGTCACTAGAATTGGTTTCATTTTTGGTGAGAAAGTGGAAACGGACGAGAATAAAAACAAGAACGTGGATGACCCAAGGTGAGTCAGTATTTTTAATGTTTTTTTGACGAACGGCAATAAAACATAACAACAAATCGTAACGTGAAATTGAATTACAGGAGTACGTTGAGTGTCTGGTTAAAAAATAAACCTGATTGTCAAGGAAGAGTACCAGTTAAAACATTGCCAAAGCTATAAACTATTCATGGTCGTGTTTGGATGGGCCAAGATGGCCAATGAGATATAAAACCCAACAGCGCCATCAGCTGTTCGTCAAAACTTGGACAGTAACTAAGGAAACAAACAGGAAACGGGTGTGTGGAAATAGTAGTAGTTGCATTTGTAGTATGCAACTTGTATTTTTTAATCATAACGAAGTCGAATTATAATAATCTGAAAACTGAAATAGTACCACTCGTTCGGGCGAAGTCGTAAAACCGAACCCGTGTGCATGTGATATGTCGTAAAACAGTATTCCGTTTATTTAGATGCCTAATTACACAGGGTCGTAAAAAGATTGACAATGGAGTTTGAAAACGAAAATAAGCCATGTACTTGAGTCCCCAAAACGTTTACATACTGGGTATATGTAGTTGATAGAGGGGGAAAGGTAATCTTGTGACGCCGGCTATTTTTTGTGACAAAGAAGTAGCGTGGGACGAGGTGATAATAAAGTCAATTGTGGGGGAGATGGTACAAATATCAATTTGAGAGTCACGTCTGTTTGTCAAGTTATGAATCATACAAGGGCGTCAATTCGATTGAAAAAGTGTGTCTGTATACATCGATGGTCCGTTACTACTTTGGGTGGTACGGGTCAATATGAGTTGGTATATCCACGGCGTAATCGGTATGTTGTATCATAGAGGGTCCATAATTGCATGTCAGAATAATATATGGTAGTTCAATTTACAGTTATCAAAAAAGGGTATAAACGGATAATTAGTTTCACAACAGCTAATAATATAGTTATTATATGAGCGTACTTACCAGTTTGTGAGTGTTTTTGGTACGGTGATGGGTACGGAGCGCTTCTGTGAGATCTGAGACTGTTGTAGCGTTCACAGCCAGGTGCGCTTCCATGTAAACCTATACTGCTGAACTGTCTGGGGTCTGGAGCGGGACATAACGCACTCGTACCAGGGAGAAACCATCCACCAACTGTAACAAAAAAAATAATTTGATTTGATTACATATAGATAATAATAACGACATGACATGAAATTAAATACTGAATTACATATACATACAACGGAAAACGAACTAGTATTACGTAGGAATATCGCATATATGCGATGTCCTCGCTAACGGAGACAAAATCGATATATTATTGGTTTGGTAATCGGTCTAGCTATTTCACAGTATGTATTACAGCACAATACGAAGGTGATAACACTAAACTGTAAACAGTCTGGCGGTCGACGATCCTGTGACACTCTATTCATATTATTGGTACACCCATTTCTCATACTTACGCTGTGAGCACTGTTGCTGCATGTCATGCACATGGGCCTCGGCAAATAGGTCTCTGCTATCACACCTGGAAATAGAAACACGTTTAGTTTTAGTTCGCGGCTGGGAGATCTCAAATTGTAACAGTTTATGTGAGCATGTGCGGCAGTAATGCGGGTGTGGGAAAGGTTGTATCGGGTGTTTGTGGGACCATAGGAGGGAAGTAAGGATGACGACAATACAGGGGTGGGACGATTAGCTACACAGCCCTGTCAATGCGTGTTTGGATAAGTAATTTACCAATCAATTTACTGGACAAGAAGTACACAAAACCACCCTCTTTTGGGTGAAAGTGTTGCAAAGACGTCAGACAAACACAGCTGTGAACATGACTTTTGTAAAAAATACAATGGGCTCGACGGACTAGTAAAAAGAAAGTTCAAAACAATGCCTGAACTAAGACAACACATTACAAAACGTAAATTAACACGTTGATCAAGAGACAGAGGGGTCAGTTATCGGTGAGTCCACGGCGGGTTGGAGCTTGAACAATTTAAAAGACGTGTTTTGTAGCTATGCGGGGCTTAGCGAAAGACGGGATGTGAAGTCCGTGATGTCTTACCTTTCTTTGGCGTCTAGGAAGGCTTTAGCAAACGGATTGTGTTTTATCTTGAGTGCAGTAATCTGGAAGAGAAAAATAGCAAAATTTGACTACTTGTACATGTACGTAGAACCATTTTAGCGCATAATGCCATGGGCATAACGCCGTGGCAAGGTGTCACAGAAGCCGTCGGCGAAATCAAAGACATACGTGAATCGGATTACAAGAAATCATCTCTAATATTGATAAGAAGGTGACGATGGCAAATAACAAATTAGCTGATATCATGTAAAAATATATCGTAGTCCTGGCAACGCGATAAAATCTTAGGAAATACGATAATACAAATGTTTTGTTTTAGTGAAAGTAAAACCCTTACCTCTTCGTTCTGATAGGCGGTAACGGCAATGAAACGGGTGTCTTTGAAAGTATGGGTGCTGACCATGCGCTGTTTTTCGTTACCTCCAACTTTGATGATATGAACTCTAGGTTCGTATTTATGAAGAGAATGCAGCATGATCTAAGTCAAATGGAAAAAAAACACGAATTAATTAAATTAAAATTCAATGATAAGTAAATACACAGCGTAATTATCAGATAGCACACACTCGAAGAACTAAATAAAACTTTTGTGCAACTTACATGCCCGCCGCCGTTGAGTTTATTTGTTAGTTTCACTTTACTGAAATTAACAGACTGCTTCATCCAGTGGGCTCCGAAGTTAGGCGAATCAGGGTGTATATAGACAGAACTCGGTGCAGCGGCTTCGGGTTTACCGCCGGGCACCCATTCACCGTTCACATACTTCCAGCGGTGATTGTCGGCGGCCACGAAGTCTAGAAGTACCGAATACATGGCGTTTGGATCCAGCCCTGAGATTGAGATACGGAGGACTGGAAACATTCGTCTATGAAAAACAAAAAAATTCAAATTGTATTGTCCAGGCACTCACGTTGCTATACTAGTATACAGATTTCAAAATATAACTAAGTTAGAACACTATATCGGCGAAACTGTTTATTCACGAAACTGTCCATTTAAGTGTTATTTTTCTGTTTTTGGTTAGACTGATGAACGAGACATACGAGATGCGTTTTTGTCTAAAGTTTTTATTTTTTATGAATACCGGCTTTCGATTGGCAGGTAAATCTGTAAACATTTGCAAACACAACGGCACACATCGGTAACTCAGTATTAATACAGTGAATTATTGCTCTTATAGCATGATTGCTAAACGCCAGTTCATAATTCACCAACCACCTAACAATTACATTTAAATCTTAATTTTAAAAACGACTTTTTGATTATTTACCTTCCGTTCTTGGTGACAATCATTTCATTTGTCAAATTCCCAAAGCGTTTCCATAATTCCACGTCTTCTAGCGATATTTTAACGTGTCGTTCCGTTGGGTCTCCCTTTTTGGTACAGTCGTTCATCTCGCTCTGCACGGCGCTCAAGAGGTGGTTCACGTTGTACGACGGTGGCTTCATGTCAACTGTTGTCATATCGTGTCTGTAGACGTAGAATTATCAGTATATATGTGTAAAAACTCAAAGGTCAAGTATACTTCACGGAGGTTATACGAATGACTACTTCTGACTGAGTGTTTGGACCCTATATAAGTGTAGCCCACTTAGACGTGCGTGTTTACGTTGATAGGATCACAGACCGCCGATCATGAATATTCAAATTAGTCTTCTGATTTCTGCCGCCTTTAGGAGAGTGTTAAATATTCATGACGCATTCACGAGATTTCATTGGCTAACGTTAAAATTTACGCCAACTTTGATTGTCCCCCAAATCCCCCATCTAATCCAGGCAGTTTTCACACCTTGTTCCGTCTGTGGGGGATGCCGCCACACGTCGGCCAGATTTACACTTGGTCATCTCCCGTCAGTCGTCTGGCTGTCAACTCTTTCGAAACTTGTCAAAATGACCTGGCGAGTCAGCCAGACAACTGTCGCAAGTAGATCAACGGTTGCTGTACAATAATCGAAAATCAATACCACAGAAGCATAATCGATAATCATTTTGTTTAAAACTGAACGTAGAATTGGCCTTGGAATTGCGTAGTCATACCCTCTTCCTTGTTCCAATTCGTCGGTCATTCCCGCCGGAAGTTGCTAACAAGTATATTTCAACAACTTCCGGGAGACAGGAACTTCGCTGTACGCTCGGTTATTCAATATTTACAGAATCACTCATTATAAACAAGGCCGATCACTTCATTCATATATCAATTAAATTTGCGGTCTGGCGTGTCGAGAGTCCGTACTTCTTGTTGGGTGGTACAATCCCCTTCGAAGCAGACAAGTCGCGCGCCTGGGAATCTCGCCATATTCTCCCCTCCTTCCCGCATCGCGCTTTGAAAAATACCGAAATTACCCCCCGATTTTCAAATGTGGGCGTGTTTCCATTCTTTTGTCTGTTTTACGACGATTTG